TAACAGACACATCTAAACAGAAATTGTCGCCTCAAGAATTATTGAAAACTGTATTAAAGACTCCTTAAATACTGTTAATAACTACTTTGCAAATGTTGGGAAAAACATCAAAGAAAAAAGTGACATCAGTAATAACATTGTACAATAACAAGAATTATCACAAAGGAACCTTGATACGAGGAAATCGTTTGTATTATTATCTACTGATGTGGATAAAATTCTAATTAGGATAAAATCTCTAATAACTTTCTAAAACATTTAAATATATCCTAATCCCACCATTAACTTATGTTTTTAATCTATGTCTCGCGAACAGAATATTCCCTATTTTTAAAAATCTATAATTCACCCCATACATAAATCTGGAGATGGTGCCCGTGTGGATAATTATAAGCCTATTTCTATACTTCCATCGATTTTAAAATAATTAGAAAACCTAATTAACATCAGACTTGTAAAATACCTAGAGAAATTTAATATTCTATCAAACTGTCAATTCGGCTTTAGATCCGGAAAAGCAATGATGCAGTACACTAATTAACCGATAATATCAACAAAAATCTAGACAAAGGCAACAATACAGTAAGGATTTTGTGGACCTTACGAAATCATTCGACACGGTCTCTATCCTCATACTGCTAAGGAAATTTGAAAAAAAAAAACGTATAAGGGGCACACAACTAAAATTATTTGAAATCTATCCAACTGGAAGACTCCAGTGTGTTACAATAAAGAACCAATGTAGTTCTGATGTACCTGTTAGCTATGGAGTACCTCAGGGGAGTATTCTAGACCCAATTCTATTCCTCGTTTACATAAATGACCTCTTAAAACTTAAATCCTTCCATGGCAAAATCATATCATATGTTGATGATATACAGCACTCCTATTCACAGCAAGTACATGGAAGGAGGCTTTTGATAACGCTCAAAATGGAATTGATGTTGTCTATGTATGGTTGCGTAGTGACTACATATCTCTTAATATTGACAAAACGAATCTCTATCAACTATAAGTGAACTGCTCACATCTGTTTAAATTTAACGAAACCTTCAGAATTACCATGTAACTGTTCATCTTTATCCAAAACCTACTGTGTTAAGCATTTAAGTATTCTTATTGATTATCAATTGAATTTTAAAGAATTTTTAATTTCAATAGCCTCGCGTATCATCCTTGGTAGGAATCGGTGTTCTTTTGCGAGGATTTGTGGTTTATCAAATCTGATGTAATGGTGGGGATGATCTTGAACATGTTCACAGACTGCAGACTTCCCCGAGCGTCGGTGCTTCACGTTAGCTACATGTTCTTTCACGCGGGATTTTATGGATCTTTTAGTTTGACCTATGTAAGAGAGACAACATTCACAATCTAACTTGTACACTCCTGCATCTTGTAGAGGGATATTACACTTGACGGATGGTAAAAATTGACTAATCTTCTTCGGCGGCTTGTAGTATGTTTTAATGGAAGCTCGCTTCAAGATATAGCCAACCTTGTCTGTGACTCCTCTGACATATGGTAGTACAGCAGGCACACGCTCGACTGTGGCCGGCTTCACTCGGTCAATATATACCAACCGATATTTAAATGGTGAATCTCACCATCATCCTTCACAGTTAGCTACCGTGGGTAAATTTTTGTTTCAGAGAGTACGAGGGATCTGTGACAGAAAACATCTGGCCGCCGAGCTGCAGCATGTCAAGCAAGTGTTGCAAGGCAACAAGCTTCGGATCCCGCGCCTACGTCACAGTGACCGAGTATATATAGTATTTATTTATTATTTATGGTAAGATATACAATATATATCATATATCATAGGGGGTTTTAGGGGGGTTTAATATTGTATATAGTATATACATGTGATACATATATTATATAGGAGTAAACATTTTGGTATTATATATATATGGAGAGATATATATTTTGGAAAAGAAAAAAATTTATATATATATACATATATAAATACTAAATATTATTTTATATAATTATATTGTATAATTGAATAAAACTAAATTTACGGATTCTATGGCGTTTATTTAACTGATTTTTCTTATTTTTAATTCCCGACGTTTCGGGTGCTTTACAGCAACCATGGTCACGGGGGGGGGGGAGGACTGAGATGTTTGACGTCCCAATGTCATTGTTAGCCTGAATCTGAATCGAATGAATTGAATCAAATCTGAAATCATTTACAGTAAGTAGATGAACAGTTAAGCAATTAGTTACAACTAAAGTTCTGAGCACAAATGACACTCTAAAAAGTCACACATTATGCAGATAGGATAAGATGCCTGTACTCGTATCTAAGCTTATATCTTTTATTATCGCTCTCTATGATGTTCAATGAAGTAACATACACAGCGCACCTAATTTATATTTTATCGTTAAGCACCGCGTGGAAAGATGGTGACAACATTATCTGCAGAGACAAATTTGGTATAGAATTTTACCTGCAGATAAATATAGGATGGATGCTGAAAAATGCGCTTAAATTCGCCTCGGTCCTTTTTAAGCTTTACATGACGTTCTATCCAAATTCTTCGCCTTTTAGTAAACGCTAATGCAATACGTGCATCAAAATTAAAATCAGAATTCTATTGCGACGAGCTGTTTAGCATATCTAGAAGCAATATACGCCAACTTATTGTAGATAACACAATGTGTGTATAAACAATTCACACCAAAAACCACGTACTAGTAAGTTTGAAGGATTTCCAGTGAATGTATCATTTCGTGTATTATCGTATCTGCGTAGTGATACGTTCCGATAATTAAGTTTTTATACGCAGATAAAATACGATCGTGACTGCGTAGTCTGTGACTTGCTTAGTTCTACAAAAATAAATGAAAAAAGAAAGGTACCTTGGCGAATGATCTTGAGCAGGTCGAGCGCAGATCGTGGTGCAGCTCGGCGGCTGGCCGCGGATGCGCCGCGGGCGACGGCGAGCGCATCCGTTTGCCACTCGTCGCGCCCTCCGCACCAGCTGCACCCGCCGCGCCATCTGCAACCCCCACACCCCCCGCGTAAACCGCACCGCCCGGCGCCGGAAGCGGCGCGGGCGCGGGTGTGGCACTGGGCACGGACGCGAGCGCGACGCTGGGCACGGGCGGCGCCAGCGGCGGCGGCGGCGACTGCGCGCACCCCTCCGTTGCCATCATGCCTGCGCACACAACGCACGTCATACATTCCCACCAAGGGTTGCCTGGTCTTAAAACCGAAAAGCCGGACAGACCAGCGAGTTCAACCGGACACTTTGGTAAAAAGGCCGAACACCCTTAACTTTTAGTCTTGGTATAACATGACGATTTTTTAAAAAGTAATACTATGGACTGTCACCGAGCGTCACCGTAAACACATCACTACCTAACTTTACTAAATTCAATATTTTTTTTATAGGAGAAGATGACAAACGAGCACACAGTCCACCTGATGGTAAGTGGTTTCGAACCCAGGACCTCATGATCAGCAGTCGCACTACTACAACCACTAGACCAACGAGACAGTCAAACTACTAATATAACTGCAGCATGGCTCTACCACGTAAAAATAAACTAACTTCACTAACTTTACTACAAACTTAGTGTAGCAAGAAAAACTACGTTCCGAAACTGTTGGATCTTCAACTACAATGCTTCAATAACATCAAATATGTCTGCTTGAACTACAAGAAGGACGCAGCGAGTAGAAAAACCGAGGAGTACTTACTAAGTCGAATCCAATCCCTTGAAGATCAATGGATCGACTTTGAACAGCGCCACAAAATTATTATGGAAACTATTGAAGATAAAAACATCGACTACTTCACAGGGAATGTTTTACCAAAACTACGGAGCTTTATGAAATTACTTTACAAAGTATGCAATACTTACTGCTACAAGTACGCAAAAGCAAGTCTGTGCATTTCGATTTGACCGGGATGCTGGACGGCACCACCGACGCAAGCGTCAAAACGCTCTTAGAGAAGCATGAATACAACTTTAAGGGGCCTACAGAAGTTAAACGCAAGTTTTATAATGCGTCAAAGTATATGATACACTGCAGTAAACAAAACCAGAAAAACATATGATATTTTTCTTGATATCTGCTTGATATACGATAGAAAAAAAATCACAAAAAATACCTCTAAAATTTCTTTTAACGAGGAAAAGCCATATTAATATACATGCAATCATTCCGATTTTTTGTCGGATTATTATAGAAGCAACATATTAATATATTGTTGTTTTAATTTTTTAGTCTAATTAATTGTTTTTATTTATCAATCGCATATTCTTATTTCTGAAATAATACGTACGGATGTGTGCTTAAACGCCTGTGTACAGACACTAAGGCCATAGGCCTCATAGTATATATAGCATGTGCCAAATCGATTGAGAAAAACGGACAATGACCTCAGATATGAGTTGAGTGTCAAAAGGCGTAACTTACAAAATCTCAATTTAGATGTGATAACAATATTTAAATATTGACATTATTCACACTTCTAAGTTAGCACATATGTTTTATTTTTTTGTTTCTTAAATAATATTGTCTGTGGTTCCTATAAACATCGTAAAATCTTACGGTACATCGCGAAAAATGTGTTATATTTTATATTTCAATGTATGGTAAGTAACGCAGCAGTTCATTTAATAACAGTTTCATATTTAAAAAAAATTTAAGCAATATAATCACCATATTGAGCTCTTGCAAATTCATCCCTTTAAAATAAACAAAACTCGCGTTACGTCAATTCGTTCTAAAAGAAACGTGACAATGGCAGCCAGAGATGCGTCACTTTTTTTGGGCCGGTCCGCATGCACCGAATAAAAATAAAGTTCTTATATAATATTAAAAATGAAGTTTAATCTTTTGAATAAGTACGTACTTATTCGATGTCGTTATCACTCGAATCTTTATATGTGTTATAAATTAATGCTTTTTGTTGTTAAATGAATAAAGTACTTTATAACAATAAAATTAAAGTTCTACAAAAATAAATAAAAAAGAAAGGTACCTTGGCGAATGATCTTGAGCAGGTCTGAGCGCAGCTCACGGTGCAGCTCGGCGGCTGGCCGCAGATGCGCGGCGGGCGACGGCGAGCGCGACCGCTTGCCATCTGCAACCCCCACACCCCCCGCGCCAACCGCACCGCCCGGCGACGGAAGCGGCGCGGGCGCGGGTGTGCTACTGGGCACGGACGCGAGCGCGACGCTGGGCACGGGCGGCGCCAGCGGCGGCGGCGGCGACTGCGCGCACCCCTCCGTTGACATCATGCCTGCGCACACAACGCACGTCATACATTCCCATCAAGGGTTGCCTGGTCTTAAAACCGAAAAGCCGGACAGACCAGCGAGTTCAACCGGACACTTTGGTAAAAAGGCCGAACACCCTTAACTTTTAGTCTTAGTATAACATGACATTTTTTAAAAAAGTAAAACTATGGACTGTCACCGACCGTCACCGTAAACACATCACTACCTAACTTTACTAAATTCAATACTTTTTTGAGGATGACAAACGAGCACACAGTCCACCTGATGGTAAGTGGTTTCGAACCCAGGACCTCATGATCAGCAGTCGCACTACTACAACCACTAGACCAACGAGACAGTCAAACTACTAATATAACTGCAGCATGGCTCTACCACGTAAAAATAAACTAACTTCACTAACTTTACTACAAACTTAGTGTAACAAGAAAAACTACGTTCCGAAACTGTTGGATCTTCAACTACAATGCTTCAATAACATCAAATATCTCTGCTTGAACTACAAGAAGGACGCAGCGAGTAGAAAGACCGAGGAGTACTTACTAAGTCGAATCCAATCCCTTGAAGATCAATGGATCGACTTTGAAAAGCGCTACAAAATTATTATGGAAACTATTGAAGATAAAAACATCGACTACTTCACAGGGAATGTTTTACCAAAACTACGGACACAGTCTATAAATCCATACAGTCGTCCGACGAAGACGTCTAGACTGGGTAATCGTACGGGGTGTGCGGGGTGAGACGCGGGAAGGATGAGCCCGATCTGCTTATGCCAATCGTATTAGTAGCTCGGGAGTCGGGACACGACCTCCAGGGTTAACGCGCGCTTGCTTTTATAATTTTATATAATATTAATTTAGTGTTGATAATTATAATTAAAATGGTTCATACGACGTGTGCTGTGAGAGATTGCAAGTCGTCATCTCGCATAAATAAAGATCTGCGATTTCACCAAATTCCGCACACCGAAGAAAGGTAAATAAATATTGTTATTATTTTTTACATTATGTATATATTTTGTCATGTCATGCCACCAAATAGCCAACGTAAAAGAAATGGCGGATGTAAAAATTAGGTACTATATAGTCGCTGGGCATTACTGATTTTTCTTCATCTAAATCGTGTGGTTGGACAGGCTAAGGTTTTAGACCATACTATAGTGCCTCGTCTTCGGTCTTTCGAAGTTTTTATAAAATATTAAGATTTAGGGGTAAATTTTTAAGTTTGTCGGTGTGCTAATTACGAAAATAGCATTTATTTTTAAATCCAAGATGGCGGTAATTTTTTTATACAGGGTTACTGGTACCTCGACGTATTCCCGCCAATACGTGATAGTTGGGGTCATAACCTATCAAATGAACCATAAAATGCATTATGCAAATGTGGACCAATTTCGAGATATTAAGGTTTAATTATTTTTTTCAAAAATCCCAAAAGTCTGGCGTCAAAAATTTCTAAAAAAAAACTTACAGATGTATTATTTTCATTTTATTATTTTTACTTAATGAAAACCTGGATACTTATTTATCAATACTACAGTGTGCAAAAAGTCTCATCATTTTCGAAGTAAGCTACTAAAAGTACACTTTCCAACAAAGTAAGTATTGATTTTGTGAAAAATAATTGTATGTGACCAATTGTGCAAATCATGTTAAAAACATCCCTACTTATCTAGCTACCCAACAAAGTATCAATTTAGCTTGTAACTTAAATAGTACGGAAAAAACTTACTTATCTTCTGTTTGGAAAAAATTGTACTTTTAGTAGCATTACTTCGTCACCGTCACAATATCCATAGAGATAAGAAGAAGTGGTTGGATCTTCTTGAAATTTACTCAAAATTTCTTCATCTTCTGTGACATGGGGTGGTCGGCGATTAGGGTAGCGTTGTAGGTATTCACGGCGAGCAGCTGCAGCGTCACCGTCACAATATCCATAGAGATAAAAGATATCTGCGTATTCCTCGTGGGAAAATGATTGCCTTGCATGATCTCCGCGTCTTGGTGGTTCCGCCGCCATAAAACTTTGAAACTCAACTTCATTAAGTGTAACAGGGAGGGATATGCGCGCGTGTGTACGATGCCTGTAATACTGATGACTGATTGTACAGTTTCTTCTTGTTTAACTTGTTTCTAATTTCATACTACATGTAAACAATAGCGTAAGTTCAAACGCACAATCTTTTACGAGCATTCCCGCAGCAGTTGATAAGGTTCCGAGAAGCGATTGTTTGGGATTACCCAAAACATTGCTACTCGGAACTTGTCTACCTGGCGCCTTTTTTTTCAAGTTTTTCTGTACTATTTAAGTTACAAGCTAAATTGATACTTCGTTGGGTAGCTAGATAAGTAGGGATGTTTTTAACATGATTTGCACAATTGGTCACATACAATTATTTTTCACAAAATCATTTTTATTTTTAATTATCTTCTGTTTGGAAAAAGTTGTACTTTTAGTAGCGTTACTTCGAAAATGATGAGACTTTTTGCACACTGTAGTATTGATAAATAAGTATCCAGGTTTTCATTAAGTAAAAATAATAAAATGAAAATAATACAGCTGTAAGTTTTTGCTTTTGGGTTTTTGAAAAAAATAATTAAACCTAAATATCTCGAAATTGGTCCGCATTTGCATAATGCATTTTATGGTTCATTTGATAGGTTATGACCCCAACTATCACGCCTTGGCGGGAATACGTCGAGTTACCAGTAACCCTGTATATGTAGGATATGGATGTCAATTTCAAGGTTTATTGGGGTGATGCTTACGAAAACGCCGATCCATTTTTATATCCAAGATGGCGGACATTTTTTGAATAATATGATATGAGTATCAATTTCGAGGTTCTTGGAGTGCTTATTACGAAACCAGCATCCATTTTCATATCCAAGATGGCGGTCATTTTTTTAATAATATGATATGGGTATCAATTTCGGGGTTTCTTGGGGTGCTTATTACGAAACTGGCATCCATTTTCATATCCAAGATGGCGGACATTTTTTAATAATATGATATGGGTATTAATTTCGGGGTTTCTTGGGGTGCTTATTACGAAACTGGCATCCATTTTCATATCCAAGATGGCGGATTTTTTTTAATAATATGATATGGGTATCAATTTCGGGATTTCCTGGGGTGCTTATTACGAAACCGGCATCCATTTTCATATCCAAGATGGCGGACATTTTTTTAATAATATGATATGGGTATCAATTTCGGGGTTTCTTGGGGTGCTTATTACGAAACTGGCATCCGTTTTCATATCCAAGATGGCGGAAATTTTTTAATAATATGATATGGGTATCAATTTCCGGGTTTCTTGGGGTGCTTATTACGAAACTGGCATCCATTTTCATATCCAAGATGGCGGACATTTTTTTTAATGATATGATATGGGTATCAATTTCGGGGTTTCTTGGGGTGCTTATTACGAAACTGGCATCCATTTTCATATCCAAGATGGCGGACATTTTTTTAATAATATGATATGGGTATCGTATCATTTTCGGGGTTTCTTGGGGTGCTTATTACGAAACTGACATCCATTTTCATATCCAAGATGGCTGACATTTTTTTAATAATATGATATGTGTATCAATTTCGAGGTTTCTTGGGGTGCTAATAACGAAAATGGAATTTATTTTTAAATCCAAGATGGTGGACATCATTTTTTTAATAGGGATGTCAATTTTGAGGTTTGTGGGTGATAATTATGAAAATTTAATAATAAGTATTGTATTTAAAAATTTTAGATGCAAATTATGGCTGGAAGTTATTGGAAGACTTGATTTAGTAGGAAAATCTTTCGAAAGCCAAAAGAATACGTACATTTGCAGTTTGCATTTCGAAAAGAGTATGTACGGGAAGAAACCACTGAAGAAAACATCTATACCAACGTTATTTTTACCAACCAATGACTCGATCCATATTCCATACACAGACTGATCCTAAGGTCAAAATTTTAAGTGATGTAAAATTGAAACTCTCCGATAAACGTCATATTGTAATACCAAAAATACCTCGAAGAGACCATGAATTAGCAGGTCCTTCATCACAAAATTCAGAACACACCAACACTGAGCAATATATAGGTATAGATTATAGTTCTCAGACACCAGCTCAATTGACTGACTTTACTCCCCGAAAAAGTAAACTTAGAAAACAATTGTTTAAAATAAGTAAAAAGTTAAAATGTACTGCTAAAAAATATGAAGATATTACCGCGAAACAGTTTTTCAACGGTTGTGATAAATTTTTATCCCCCAAGTTAAGCGCGATTTTAAAGGCGCAAATTTATTTAAAACCCCATTGTAAAAACAATAGATATAGCAGAGAATTCTAATTGTTTTGCTTAAATATGTATTACAGGAGCCCTCTCGCTTATCGATTTTTATCGAAGACTATTTGTTTACCGTCTAAATCAACTTTAGCTAAGATGTACCTACCTATGCAAACTAAACTTAACCAGCAAATGTGGGATGTTTTATCGGCTACAATCAAGCATATGTCATCATCCGAAAAAGAATGTGTGCTTTATATGGATGAGATGAGTCTGAAATTAAACTTATACTATAACAGCACAGCAAGGAAGATAAAATATTGGGCCTCCATGAAGTAGATGGGCAACAGCAACCTGTTGCCGCAGGGTATGCTTTTACCTTAATGCTTCGAGGTATAACATCAAAATGGAAACAACCTATTGGCTTTTCTTTTATTTCCAGCAGTAAAATTGATGATCAATTAAAATCATGGATAATTGCTACTGTGAAATGTCTTTTAGAGCTTGGCTTTAATATACGAGCTTTCTTGTCAGATCTAGGATTTTTTTGGCATTTTAAAAACATTAGGGATCTCTAAAGAAAACTCATGTTTTGAGATTGATGGTCACAAAATTTACTACATATTTGATGTTCCCCACTTAATGAAGTGCGTGAGAAATAATTTAATAAACTATAACTGTGAGTTTGATGGCAAAACTACTCGGTGGGAGGACATAACAAACATGTATGAACTAGATAAAATGAAATATATGCGACCAGCTCCTCGTTTAACTGATTCACATTTACAGCCGAATAGTTTCCAAAAACAAAAAGTTAGTTTTGCCGTTCAAGTTTTTAGCAATTCTGTAGTAGCAGCTTTAAAAAATTATCAATCATCGGGTACTCTACAAGTTGCTGATGGTACGATATTTTTTACTGAAATCATGAACAACCTCTTTGATTTACTGAATTCAAGCAACATCGACTCACCAAAAGTCTACAGTAAACCGTATAGGGGTACTACTCTCCAAGAGGAATTTCTAGATAAATCACAGCGTATGTTTAATAGCATGAGTAAATGAACTGCGTGATCTTGGTGTTCAGTTGGATAGTAAGTTGTTACTGAGATCACATATTAATATAAAAACTCAAAGAGCTTATAAAATGCTAGGTTTTGTGATGCGTATCTCAAAAGATTTAAAAAACTCTACAACATTAATTATACTATTTAATACTCTGGTGCGATCTATTCTTGAATATTGCTCTTCATGTTGGAATCCTCAATACAAAGTTTATGTTACAATGATTGAAACAATCAATAATAAGTTTCTGCGTCACTTAAAGCGATATGATTCTGCCGTAGACTCCTTTATTGATAGCTTACACAGTTATACACTCGAAAAACGCCGTGATATAAGAGATCAAATGTTGTTTTACAAATTGCTACATAATATCATCGACTCACCCCTACTTTTAAGCAAAGTGAATCTTGCGTGTCACCGGTTAGGTGCACGAAAAAAGCCTCTTTTTGCATTACGTAAAGTAAAAACGAAGTATGCTTTTAATAATTTTGTATCTCGTACATGTAAAAATTTGAACTTAAAATATTGTGAACTAGATATTTTTCACCTTAAATATAATAGTTATAAAAAGAATATTGTAAAATTTAATTTATAATTGGTAGCTTCACTATAGGTTGTGTGTATTGTATTACTTTTATTTTATGCTTAGTACTTAATGTTTTAATTATAAATACCATTCAGTTATTTTTTTTTTCAATCTTTAAACATATTGTGGTAGCAAGCTTTTAATATGTTTTAGATATCTGTGGAAACTTCATTGGTTTTAGGATTATTTTTATATGTTTTATAATGTATTTTTTTATTGTACTGTATGTTTCCCTGAAAAAGCAAATAAATAAATAAATAAAATATAAATGAGAGTTAAAAATAAAAAGAATGACCGTGACGTTACCAATATCACAAAATTTATAAATGCTTTCAACATAACAATAAACTCACTTCGGCAATTATATAAAGATATGAAGTCTGGGGGATATGATATCTACTCACACGAAGAATTAACAATGATTGCTTAGAAAATTTTTTTGGGCTCGTGAGGCAAGCTGGCGGAAATTATCGGGAATCCTCTTGTATACAATACACCAGGGCATTCCGAAAAATGTTTCTATGCCAAATTCTAAATTTATCAGACGCTACAAATTGTACCGAAGATTTTGACAGCATACTAGCCCAATTTGTAGAATATGCCAAAAATACACCTCAAACTCAAGTTTCTATCCAGGATCCACCTCAAATACAACCCAAAGAGAATTTTGCAAAGATATACGACATTCCAGAAAAAAATGCATTCCGAAGAGAAGAGAAGGTTATTTGTTGCGAAGGTGTGTTGAAAGTCACAAGCGTGACTGCCTATCGGTAATTAGTTACGCATCATCATATGACGATGAATCAAATGAGAGAAATTTATACATCCGTCTGAGAGCTTATGATACTAGCCGTGATCGCTTCGGAGGACTACAAGTCCCTCCAGATTTTGTGGATTACATACATAGCTTGGAAACAGAATTGATGTCGATTTTTACTTTTACTGAAAACATTGGGTTCAAATTGTTTGAGCATTTGAGACTAATAGAGTTCAACACCAAAACATGTGCATGCTTCCCAATAAATTATTTGTTAAAATTATTTATTAGGATGAGAATTTTTTATATAATTAAGTTTAATAATAGAAATTTCAAATCCAGTAAATCTAAAAACGGAAAATATTTGTTAGTTGCCCATTTATAATTCCTGATTTAGAAATGAATTGGTTATTATATCCTTATAGTTGTTTTCTTATCGATTATATAGTAACAAAACAGGTGTCCATATAGTTATAGTAGTAGTAAATATTTGAATTCCAATCATTTTATTCGTGAGGCAGCTACTTATGCAGCCCCACTCCCCCCTCGCTATCGAGTCCGCAGGCCGAGAAACTCTCTCTCGGATATACTCCGCCAAATAAAATTTCAACCGACCTGAACTGCCTCCTGGCGGCTCAGGCCAATTCTTCTTAAATTTTGCCTAAGTAGGCTCTCCCTCAGCGGCTCGTAGCCTGCGCCCTCTTCTCCCAAAAGAGGGTCGCTTCCAACCGGGCAAAGAGGCTTAATCCGCCAATTGCCAGTCCCACGGGTGGTGTTTAGTGGGTACACTTAGGGTAGTGGTTAGGTTAGGGTTTAGTCACAGTGAGTCCCACGTAACCACGACGGACCGGCTGTCGTGGTTTGCATAAAGCATTCACCACCTTCTCGTGTAACGGGGTAGCCCTTTCTAATTGCTTCTGGGCGCAAAAAAAAATTGGAAAATCCAAAATGCACGCCTCATGAGTGTTTCATTTAATTTTGATGAAAAAAATAAACAACTTTTAAAAGGTGTTCAGTTCAATAGCAAAAATCAATAAGGACCCTCCTTAGAATACATGGAATCTTATTTAATACTATATATCTCAATTTAGCACTTACATTTCTATTAAGCGAGAAGACTCACAGACGCACAGACAAACGGACGGCAGTCGATATATTTCTTCAATTACATTTTTTGTTGTGTAATCTAAAGTGAATCAGTTATAAAATAAACCAATAATTCAATGTCTGTAGTCATTGTATACACACACACACACACACACACACATATATATATATATATATATATATATATATATATATATATATATATATATATATATATGGATTTGATGTCTAGCTAAGAGTATAAGAACTGAATTGAAGAACCAAACTGAGGTATGGCCACATATCGAGAGTAGAGCACTCCATCACGTTGTGAGGCGTGCAATTAGCGTTTTGAGTACTTTCATGAAAAATGTAAGAACAAATTATTACTTATTCTTTATATTAGTAATCATATTGTTGATCTCGATGTGGATCTAACATAAATAATGAAATTAGTAAAAGTTGTTAATTTGTGACAACCCTAACCTCCATACGCTGTCTAGACGTTGTCGGCATTTACCACGAGATCAAAGGTGTCGTCCTACTGTATGTTTTTATTATACTGTGCTACGGAGCTTTATGAAATTACTTTACAAAGTATGCAATACTTACTGCTACAAGTACGCAAAAGCAAGTCTGTGCATTTCGATTTGACCGGGATGCTGGACGGCACCACCGACGCAAGCGTCAAAACGCTCTTAGAGCAGCATGAATACAACTTTAAGGGGCCTACAGAAGTTAAACGCAAGTTTTATAATGCGTCAAAGTATATGATACACTGCAGTAAACAAAACCAGAAAAATATATGATATTTTTCTTGATATATGCTTGATATACGATAGAAAAAAAATCACAAAAAATAACTCTAAAATTTCTTTTAAGGAGGAAAAGCCATACTAATATAAATGCAATCATTCTGATTTCTTGTCGGATTATTATAGAAGCAACACATTAATATTTTTTAGTCTAATTAATTGTTTTTATTTATCAATCGCATATTCTTATTTCTGAAATAATACGTACGGATGTGTGCTTAAACGCCTGTGTACAGACACTAAGGCCATAGGCCTCATACTATATATAGCATGTGCCAAATCGATTGAGAAAAACGGACAATGACCTCAGATATGAGTCGAGTGTCAAAAGGCGTAACTTACAAAATCTCAATTTAGATGTGATAACAATATTTAAATATTGATATTATTCACACTTCTAAGTTAGCACATATATTGTTTCTTAAATAATATTGTCTGCGGTTCCTATAAACATCGTAAAATCTTACGGTACATCGCGAAAAATGTGTTATATTTTATATTTAAATGTATGGTAAGTAACGCAGCAGTTAATTTAATAACATTTTCAAAAAATTAAAGCAATATAATCACCATATTGAGCTCTTGCAAATTCATCCCTTTAAAATAAACAAAACTCGCGTTACGTCAATTCGTTCTAAAAGAAATGTGACAATGGCAGCCAGAGATGCGTCACTTTTTTTTGGGCCGGTCCGCATGAACCGAATAAAAATAAAGTTCTTATATAATATAAAAAATAAAGTTTAATCTTTTGAATAAGTACGTACTTATTCGATGTCGTTATCACTCGAATCTTCATATGTTTTATAAATTAATGCTTTTTGTTGTTAAATGAATAAAGTACTTTATAACAATAAAATTAAAGTTCTACAAAAATAAATAAAAAAGATAGATACCTTGGCGAATGATCTTGAGCAGGTCGGAGCGCAGCTCACGGTGCAGCTCGGCGGCTGGCCGCAGATGCGCGGCGGGCGACGGCGAGCGCGACCGCTTACCACCCGTCGCGCCCTCCGCACCCGCTACACCCACCGCGCCATCTGCAACCCCCCCCCCCCCACCCCCGCGCCAACCGCACCGCCCGGCGCCGGAAGCGGCGCGGGCGCGGGTGGGCCACTGGGCACGGACGCGAGCGCGACGCTGGGCACGGGCGGCGCCAGCGGCGGCGGCGGCGACTGCGCGCACCCCTCCCTTGACATCATGCCTGCGCACACAACGCACGTCATATATTCCCATCAAGGGTTGCCTGGTCTTAAAACCGAAAAGACGGACAGACCAGCGAGTTCAACCGGACACTTTGGTAAAAAAGCCGAACACCCTTAACATTTAGTCTTAGTATAACATGACATTTTTTAAAAAAAATAAAACTATGCACTGTCACCGAGCGTCACCGTAAACACATCACTATCTAACTTTACTAAATTCAATACTTTTTTATAGGAGAGGATGACAAACGAGCACACAGTCCACCTGATAGTAAGTGGTTTCGAACCCAGGACCTCATGATCAGCAGTCGCACTACTACAACCACTAGACCAACGAAACAGTCAAACTACTAACATAACTGCAGCATGGCTCTACCACGTAAAAATAAACTAATTTCACTAACTTTACTACAAACTTAGTGTAGCAAGAAAAACTACATTCCGAAACTGTTGGATCTTCAATTACAATGCTTCAATAACATCAAATATCTCTGCTTGAACTACAAGAAGGACGCAGCGAGTAGAAAAACCGAGGAGTACTTACTAAGTCGAATCCAATCCCTTGAAGATCAATGGATCGACTTTGAACAGCGCCACAAAATTATTATGGAAACTATTGAAGATAAAAACATCGACTACTTCACAGGGAATGTTTTACCAAAACTACGGAGCTTTATGAAATTACTTTACAAAGTATGCAATACTTACTGCTACAAGTACGCAAAAGCAAGTCTGTGCATTTCGATTTGTCCGGGATGCTGGACGGCACTACCGACGCAAGCGTCAAAACACTCTTAGAGCAGCATGAATACAACTTTAAGGGGCCTACAGAAGTTAAACGCAATTTTTATAATGCGTCAAAGTATATGATACACTGCAGTAAACAAAACCAGAAAAATATATGATATTTTTCTTGATATATGCTTGATATACGATAGAAAAAAAATCACAAAAAATACCTCTAAAATTTCTTTTAACGAGGAAAAGCCATACTAATATACATGCAATCATTCTGATTTTTTGTCGGATTATTATTATTGTTGTTTTAATTTTTTAGTCTAATTAATTGTTTTTATTTTAAATCGCATATTCTTATTTCTGAAATAATACGTACGGATGTGTGCTTAAACGTCTGTGTACAGACACTAAGGCCATAGGCCTCATACTATATATAACATGTGCCAAATCGATTGAGAAAAACGGACAATGACCTGAGATATGAGTCGAGTGTTAAAAGGCGTAACTTACAAAATCTCAATTTAGATGTGATAACAATATTTAAATATTGATATTATTCACACTTCTAAGTTGGCACATATGTTTTATTTTTTTGTTCCTTAAATAATATTATCTATGATTCCTATAAACATCGTAAAATCTGACGGTGTATCGCGAAAAATGTGTTATATTTTATATTTCAATTTATGGTAAGTAACGCAGCAGTTCATTTAATAACAGTTTCATATTTAAAAAAATATTAAGCAATATAATCACCATATTGAGCTCTTGCAAATTCATCCCTTTAAAATAAACAAAACTCGCGTTACGTCAATTCGTTCTAAAAGAAACGTGACAATGACAGGCAGAGATGCGTCACTTTTTTTGGGCCGGTCCGCATGAACCGAATAAAAATAAAGTTCTTATATAATATTGAAAATAAAGTTTAATCTATTGAATAAGTACGTACTTATTCGATGTCGTTATCACTCGAATCTTTATATGTGTTATAAATTAATGCTTTTCGTTGTTAAATGAATAAAGTACTTTATAACTATAAATGATTTCTCTTTTACAGCGATCTTTTACATAACTTTTAATAATATATTTTAATAATATATATATATATACAGTTATATATATACAGTTGTGTATTTGGTATCTAGCGGCACGGATTTACAGTTTGCATTCGAGAGTGCCCGGGTTCGATTCCAGGAATATGAACTCAAATTTTCTTTTTTGTCTTTTATATATTTATTATTATATATTTAGATAGGTACATTTATTAATTACTTTATAAGTAAAAAAATTAAATGTAATTTTTTAAGCCTATGAATTTTAAATACTTAATTTATTACAGTAGTGAGCTAGGGTTGCCAGGTCTTTAAACCGAAAAGCCGGACAGACCAGCGAGCTTAGCCGGACATTTTGGTAAAAAGGCCGGACACCCTTAATTTTTTAGTCTTAGTATAACATACCATTTTTTTTAAAGTAAAACACTGCTTTTTATTGTTTACCATAAAATCTTCTTAAACTCTAACAAAATAACAACAACATTGAATAAATCATACTTCTTTATTATTTATCGACGATTTATGACGAACACAACCGACCCATCTATTACGACACACTTGGCGAAAAGCAAATCATACACGACGAATGGACCTTACATCTATATTATAACTTAACTAACTATTCGAGCAATATACAACGAATTGAAGCTTATCAACACGGGTTTGCGGATTTGTGTGAAAGTACGGATTCGAGATATTGTAAAACTACTCTAGAACAAGTATCGCATGAAATGAAGCTACTGAAATACTACAACTGCATCCTGCTGGCTCCTCTCAAACATTTAACGGCGAGAAAGAAACGAGGCCTAATCAACGGCATCGGCAACATTGCCAACAAACTGTTTGGTATCCTTTTTTTACGTGGGGAAATCCTCATCGATACCCGTGTTACCCGTCTGTCGCGTAGGCGTCAGATATATATAGCCATGCAGCTCCTCACGGCGTGCCACGCTTGAGCTTCGGGTGATATTTTTTAAAACGGTTATCATCCTCGCGACTCCAGGTGATTAAGCCATGAGCCCCTCAGACGCCACAAGATATGATCCACGACACGCCAGAGGTGTTCCGATGTTCGAACGGTGGCAGAGTCAATACGTGTTCTTCACATTGCTGCCTAGAGACCGGATGAGGGAACACTGAGCCCATTCAAATTCCTTTTTTTACAGGGTGTGGTCCCCGAAATCCCGCGATGACAGGTTGCCCGGCGTCGGCAAAAGCCGAGTGCACCTCGCATCTCACCATGTATGTCACATCCTCTTTTCCTCTCAAAGTAAAGGATATGCGAAGCAACTAGTAGGCCCTCCAATCTCCAAACAAGCCCTCGGTCGTTTTTGATTCCATTCAGAACCACAGGTACGCCCAAACCCAGCCAGTTTTGGTTCGCGACGGTTTCCCGCTACCAGCCCTATATGAGTGGCGTTCCCCTATCCGTCATCTGGGGACGCGCCCGATGGGAGGTCTGGTAACTCCACACGGGAAATTGTTTGGTATCCTAGACCAACAGTTTGCGGAGAAATATCAGAAGGATATTGAATCCATGCAAAACAATGAGATCTACTTACTTGAACTAGTGAAAAATCAAACTTCTGTCGTGGAGCTGGAAAAATCAGGTTCTGAGGAAAACTGAAGACAATATCAACAAACAACTCAGCATGATCGGCGGGTTTATGAATCAGACCGATGCCAACTTCGGTAAGGTTGAATCAGCTGTAGAGATAATGATGGCCACTGCTTTCTTTAGCTCAGCTTCATTCGCCACATACTTACTCCTAAGTAATATGCGCACTATGCAAGAGATGGAGATGCTATTTAACCCTCTTACCGACGTCCACAAAGGTCACATGGACGCTCACTTACTCTCTCCAATCGAATTCCTCTTTCTCTTTTATTCTTTATCTATTATAACAAAGTTTTCTTCTTTCTCTTTTATAACAAAGTTTATACAGTTCACACACTTAGTTCTTATTAGTGTCATAGACTAAGCGAATGAGCTCTCGCTCACGCTCTCACAGAATACCAGCGTGAAATAGTAGCTGAATGCTGTTGTGTTTCGTATGGTGAGTGTGAACCGGAGACCCTTTTTACTGGAGACGAGGCATTCCATCCGAGTCCTCACGGGTGACAACGCATCTGCATTCTGATTTGTAATCGAGGATAGATGTAGACGTCTACGGGCCGCAGCAACCACTTACCATCAGGTGGACTGTGTGCTTGTTTGTCACCTATTTCTATAAAAAAATACACTAGAGATTGTCTAATGGTCGAAATTCGCCAGTAATTCAATAAATGTATAAGTTTGTTTATATAATGTATTTTAATTACTTGCTACTACTAGGATGCTCCAATCCTTTTAAACCTTGTTATACTACAATTTACTACTATTAAATAAATTCAATGAAACTTATTTAACGAAAGTAAAACCTATACTGCACATTAATATACAAAATATTAAATAAACTGTACTCCAAAGACTATTCGAAAAAGAACATTTGAAATCACAAGCACACCATGGCTGCACAACATGCCGCGTAAGAAAACTAATGTTTGTTAAAGCTACTGCTGTGTTCCAGTTTTAATGGAAAAAGAGCCAGCACTAAAGGCTGTAAGGTACTTCTTCACATCCACATTTTGATTCCTAATCAAGGATAGATATAGGCATTTATGAACCACAGCAATGTGCGGTTTTCCATGCACCGGCACGGCACGGGCGCCGCCTACGATCCGGCTGCCGTGGAAGCAAAAATGTATTAAATGTATGAGATATATGGCATGTTTTCCCACTTACCGGCGCCGGGACCTCAAGCTTCCTACTCGGTGCCGGCAGGCAGCAAAACTGCATGTGTATTACTAAAATTAGGGTTTTCTACCCGGGTACCCGGACCCAGGTATACCCGGGTACTATTTCTATGTCAGACCCGGGTACTCGGGGTACTTTGATCGAAGAAATCATTAAAATTCTTTCAAAATTATTACTAAGTAACGGCCTAAAAATAATATTTAAAAATGTGCAAATTAGCACTACAAACACTTAAAATAACTAAAGAAGGCGAATTGAGTTTGTTACAAAAATGAATTAAATTTGAGATTAGGTTTGGTTATGTCGCCATATTCTTTTTTATTTCCTTGGAGTTTGTTTAAAAAGTTTTATTTCGATTATTTTCATACCTGTTTCTGAAGTATGTTCAATATGCCCAAAATATTATCCTATAAAGGCAAGTGTTTTATTAAAACATTTAGATAAAGTACATAAAATAAAGATAAAAACAGAAATTTAAGTGCGAAAAAGAAATGCCATCGACATCGTCTTTTCAATCTGAATCTGAACCAATTTCAAGCCTAGTTCCAAAAAGACCCCAAATAACATTTTTTTTTCGAACTTGTACTAAAATTTTCAAAATTTTCGCGCTTTTGTTTGCACAAGACGGTATTTTCATTAAGGGCGTCGCCCGTAGTAAAGTCATCCGAGAAGCTTTTCATCATAAACAGCTAACCTACCAAAACACGAAGGCAGGACAATGAAACTAAGTAGTTCTAGAATATTATGAACAACAAAAGTCAAGTATGATTAACAAGTTGCAAAGGATAATATACTTTGATCGTAGATTCAGTCTAACTCTTGATGAACGGACAAGCTTAAGAAACCGTCTTTACATAAACATAAACTTGCATTCTGATGACAGAACAGTATTCAATCTAGGGCTGGTTTTTACATCTGGAAATGCGGCGCAGTTGAGGTGTAGAATAGAAGTCTGTTTTAGTACTTCCCAAAAACCGAGCATAGACTGGCACTTTCACCAGCGCAGAGGAAAAACGAAGCCCCAGTACTGGCGCCGTGCCGGTGAATGAAAAAAAATGAGAATGGGTCTCATACTGTGGACTATCGTTATCGTGTGGTCGACTCGTTTGTTATTATTACTTATATAAAAGCATGTAAACAAATTACCAATGACGGCATGCATCTGGTCAAGTTGTGCGTCGAGCGCCGTGCGGTGGGGCGGCGAGGCGCCGCTGAGCACGGGCGAAGGCAAACCGGCTTCGGGCGGCGGCGGTGGCGGAAGCAACGCTGACCTGCAAATGAAAATACAACTTGTCTTTATGTCAACTTGCTTTTATGTCCTAAAGATCAAATATCGATAACGGCAGTCAGTCTCAACGGAGACTAGCCATTTGCACACCACAGGATTATAGTGCATAAATGTACACAGGTGCACTCTATATTCCCACACTTTCATAGTACGATGGCAAGCCAACACGACCGCGAGAGATCAGACGCAGGACCAATCATCAGGAGGCGCGGTCGGAGGCACGGAGGGACGCGCATGCTGCGGCGTGCCCACCGTGCTGCCACCGTAGATGCTCAGGCAAAGGTTACCTGGTGGGCGTGAGGCTGGGGGGCTCGACGGGCGGCGAGAGGAGCACGGGGGCGCGGGCGGCGGTACGGAGGGGAACATGCGTTGCGGCGTGCCCGCCATGTTGCCGTCGCAGATGGTTCAAGCGGCGGTTATCTGGTGGGCGTGATGCTGGCGGGCACGACGGGCAACGAAAGGGGCACGAGGGGCGCGGGCGGCAACACGGATATGCGCGCGCGCTGCAGCGTGCCCATCATGTTGCCACCGTAGATGGTCAGGCGGAGGTTACCTGGTGGGCATGAGGCTGGTGGGCTCGAAGGGCGACGAGAGGGGCGCGCGGAACGCGGGCGGCGTGCCCGTCATGTTGTCGCCGTAGATGGTCAGGCGGAGGCTAGCTGAGGGGCGGCAGGCTGACGGGCTCCACGGGCGGCGAGCGGGGCGCGGGCGGCGGCATGGAGGATCACGCGCGCTACGGCGTGGCCGGCATGTTGCCGCCGTAGATAGTCAGGCGGAGGTTACCCAGTGGGCGCGAGGCTGGCGGGCTCGACGAGCGACGAGAGGGGCGCAGGGGACGCGGGCAGCGGCACGGAGGGGCGCGCGTGCATCGCTGTGCCCGCCATGCTGCCGCCGATAAACTCCGCCTTGTCGTACGGACTCTCATCGCCCATCACTGCAATACAATTACATACATTTTAATAAATAAAGACAAAAACATGACTCAATAACCACAGTGCTGGACTATTTTTGATCATGTTGGACTACAAAAACTTGTTTTTACATTTTGTATAATAACTGATCTACAGGTACCGTTAACATTTGTGCTAAGACATGAGTACATTTTTATTTGTTCTTTTTAACGCAACATTAATCTATAAAGTTAGGATCTATTTATACAATTCATTCATTAGAGTATATCAAGGGTGTGTTCCGAAATAGAACCCAGTATACCGGCCAATGCAAACAACGTCATAAATCGACGCCATACTGGTGATTCGTTTCAAAACATTGGTCAGTATATCACACATTTACGTCATATTTGAAAAGTGTTGGCAATTATTTTATGTCATTTTGTGCTCCAAGAGTTATTATATCCTGTTTCCATTAATTTGTGAAGAATGGAGATACCAGCAATTAAAAATTGTTTTCATATGGCGGGATATCCGACACAACATGACGGCGGCACGCCAGTACAATATGGCGTCAATTAAAGACTTCATTTGCCGGCTACAGAAGCTCACAAGTTAGTTTATCAGAATCGCATAAATATCATACGTCAAGCAACACTTTTTTATATTCGAGTAGACTTCTTCATAAATGTAGTTCTATTCAGGGAGAATGTGTGACAAGAACTAAATTCATTAACAGGAGTAGAAATCTACATAAGACGGGCAGCAGCGTCTCCTTGATCATAGCTCAAAATATTAAAAATATGCATACTATGGCAAATATCCAACTTTATTAACTATTGGAAATCCAACTGATGAACGGGAGTAGAAATAATATATTAGCTATGTAGAGTGGCGAATAACAAACCACTGCCCCATTTCATCCCGTGGGTGTCTTAAAAGGCGACAGAGGGAAACTGAAACAGGAGATGGGTAGCATCTTCTTGATGACGGCTCAAAGTAATAAAGAGCTGCGGCTGTCAACCCGCTTGCTAAGCGTGAATACTACTGCAAATACCCGGTCTATTTGTCATACAATGGGGGAAGCCTATGATCAGCAGTGGAAAGCCCTATTAAAAGTAAAAAAGTATCAGCCTAACGACATCCCACTACTGGGCACAGGCCACAGCGAGTTTTAGGTCAAAAAGGAGTTGATTAAGTTGAATCCAACGCTGGATGACCAACTTCAAATACCTATACCTAAAAATGATTTCCGAAATATTTTTTTAACATCTCAGATATGAAGATTTCGTGCCTGCGCCTTGTAAAGTTGCAGGCGGTTTGCCGGCATGAAATACTGTCCCGCTCTGCTGAGCACGCCAAGCATTTTAGAGGCCAATTTGGCCTTCTCTTCCAAGTGACCACGAAACTGCACGTCACCCGATATGTCGACGCCGAGAATTCCGATACTGGCTGAGGAAACAAGGGGAGTGCCTTGAAACTGAGGAGATACGACAATGGGGTTCTTTTTAGCGGTTAACGCGCAAACTTGTGTCTTCTGAGGGTTAAACTGGATTAGATTTAGTCGCCCCCAATCCGAAACTCTGTTCAGCAAAGACTCGACTTCAGACACAAGTTAGTCCCGGTACTCGGAGACGTTTTCCCGAGAAATATTGGCACGGCCGGTGTACAGAGCATCACCAGTACTGTCATCTGCATAGCAATGAATGTTACGGGTTTGCAACATATCATTGATATGCAGAAGAAACAGCGTTGGCGATAGCACGCGGCCTTGTGAACACCAGCATTAATAGCCTCGTAATCGGAGCTTGCACCGTCTATAACGACCTTGATGCTCCGATCTGCAAGAAAGCTAGTAATCCAATTGGACAATTTCTCGAGAAGCCCATAGGAAGGGAGCTTCGAAAGAAGCGCTTTGAGCCAAAACCGATCGAAGGCCTTCGCAATGTCCAAACTAACAGCCAATGCCTCCCCCTTGGACTCTACTGCCGCCGTACTACGTTCGGCGTTTTTCGAAGGCGAACTAGTTTCTCGCCAATTCTGCCTATGCGCTCTGACTTTGCCTCGGCAATGACTCTTTTGAAGGACCTAGAGGCGAATTATACTTCTTTTTTAGAACGCTGGTGTTTACATCCCGGGACGTTGATGCGTCAGCCCAGGCTTGGTAGCAATCCTGCTTATAGCATGATGCTATTTTACAGGAGCGACCAAGCCATGCCTGAGATTTACCTCCGATGGGCACCACATAGGAAGGAATAAAAAGTTCCATACCCTGAAGTACCACATCAGCGAACTACGAAATTTACGTTTAGATCAGTTTGATAACGGGCTTATACAGATGACTTTCAAGATTCTATCAATGCAATTCTACTCATAGTTAAAATAAAAATAAACCCGTGTTTAAAATTTGCTCTTTTGATATTATAGTACTTTTTCACAAGAACCTGTTCATTTACTCATGTTACCTATGCAACCGGGACTGTCACAAAATATTTAACTGTTATGTCTACCTACCTATGAATTACCAATCGAAAATGAGATTAACAGATAAAAGGGCAATGGCGAACTCCTACACTAATTTTTGTATTGACATTTTTGTCTTGCGTCTACAAATGAATCAATGATTTACGCCATGTTCCAGAAATCTGACTTATTTATGATTGTCAAGAAAATAGAGTTTTTACCACATTCTTTCAACTAGTTCAAAATCCGTCCGGTATTACCCCACCGCACCTTATGCTATGTTATTTTATGCCTTATAATTTTATTCCAATGAATAGGAATCTATTTAATTTATCAGTATTTAGTTTTAGCTTACCTCTCATATGAAACCCGTCTAAACAACAGTGCAGCGTAAGCAGTTGGAGGGTGAGATGTTATACCACCGACGCCACCAGGGCCATCAGGTATCTTTTCCATTTAATTGCACGAAGCTTTTCAATTCGAATCGAATTCAGATATTAGAATAGAAAATATTTAATTTTATATTTGTAAAACGTACAAAAATAGTGTAAACTATTAACACTCCGAAATTAAATTAACATCTATTTTGAAGTAAATCTTCCTATTTTGTATTATTTTATAGTTGTTCCTTCTTCGCTCATCTTCCTCTTCTAGTACATATTTCATTTAGCTTTATGCCATTTTTAACAAATAAACGCGAATAAAAATAAAATGAAAAAAACTATTAGCACTCCGAAATTAAATTAACATCTATTTTGTAGTAAATCTTCCTATTTTGTATTATTTTATAGTAGTTCCTTCTTCGCTCATCTTCCTTTTCTAGTACATATTTCATTTAGCTTTATGCCCTTTTTTAACAAATAAACGCGAATAAAATTAAAACGAAAAAAGAAATATATCCAAAATTATGCCCTTGTAATAACGATTTTATACCTCCACCACAACAATATTTTTCCGATTTTAACATTGTATGTATTTACTTATATAAAATTCGCAAATTTTTGACATAAGCAGTTTTTAATTAAAAATTTAAAGTGCTTTCAAAACTTAAATGGTGGCGAAAATGAAATATTTTGGATGTTACACAGCCTATAAATAGCGAAAAAATAATCCTCGAACAAACAACTATCATTATAGTTAATGGACAATTCTAATATTATATAAAATAGAAGATACAGGAAGATACCAGAAGTTTGTGACGGCTTTATCGTCGCACCACAAGCAAAACAAATGGAAACCTTAATCACACTACTTTAGTTGGAGTAGTTCCGTAGGTTGGCCTCTTCCTGGGCTCATTAATTTGTCTGGTGGAAGATCTCCAATTTTCTTTCCACAGCCAAAATTTCATAATTAATAGACAAAATCATAGATTCGCCAAAAGCGTATTAATATCATATCATCAGATTACATGCATCTGATGATGTAATACAAACATACTCGAAAGTCTAGTTTGAAAGAGTACAGGACGATAACTGTTTTCGAAAAGTATTAATCGGTCCTCGTCTGTAAACTCATCAGACTCAGGTAAAAAAAGCGAAAAAAATATCGGGTAAACCCCCTTTGTAGTGACAGGCTAATAAGTGAAAATTGGCCATCAAGGGGTAAAACCGGACGTAAATTTAAAGCCACTTCTACCGCTTAGATAGCAAAGTTCATAAAAGGGAATTGTCCTATTATATATATAGGTGAATAGGTGGCAACCCTTAACAAGGCGAAATATTTTAGTAAAACGTAAGTGAACAGCATGTTAACAGTTTCGTAAATTCTAATTTTAGAGGTCAATCATCACCATAATGTTGAGAAATGCGAGGAATTATAAATATCTTTAATGTGTATTGAAAAGTAATAAAACTATCCCAAAAGTTAAGCTCAATTATCGATATATTTTACTATTAGACGGGTTTAACCTCTGTGTTTGTTACTTGCCTCTTTACTTACATCTTGATGATTTTGAAAGATTTATGGGTCATGTTCAAAGTGTTGTTTTAAATAATGATGAACTGGGGTTTTTCTGTATATTAGGCGATTTTAATATCCCACACATTGATTGGAATAAGTTAAAAGTTCAAAAAGATTACTACTCCTTGGGGTTAAGTAAAAAAGCTTACTCTTTGCTTAATATGATGGCTCTATGTAGCTTTAAACAGTTTAATTTCTTAACAAACTGTAATGACCGAACGTTAGACTTAATTTTGGCAAATTTCGATGATGTGCATGTGACTACAGCACTACCTATAATCAAACCTGATAGACATCACCCTTGCTTGCACATATCTATTGGACACCAGGAAGCATTTAAACCCATCAGGTATAACCCAGTCAGTTTAAAACCAAATTTCCATAAATGTAACTTTATAAAAATAAAAAATCATTTAGTTAATACAAATTGGCAACATCTTTTAGCTGAGTAAAATGTTGATGATTCAGTTGAAATATTTTATCAAGAATTAAATAAAGCTATTTTTGTTTATACACCTTTGCAGAAAAGTCCATCATATAAATATCCATACTGGTACAGTCCTGCTTTGATTCATTGCATTAAAGAGAAACTAAAATTTCATAAATTGTATAAAAAATTTGGCAACCCAAGAGATTGCGATACTTTTAATTTATTGAGGAAAAGATGTAAAAAATTAACAGAAGAGTGTTATAAGAACTCACTACGGAATGTAAAAAGCGACCTAAACGGTAATATGAAAGCCTTCTGGAAATTTGTCAAAAGAAAAAGAGCAAGTGAAAATATACCTTACTTATGGATCTCATACCGCAAACAAGCCGAAGGACATCTGCGAACTCTTTTCCACATATTTTTCATCTGTATATGACAAACCGGATAGCAATAAATTTGCATCGTTTACCTTTCCAACAAAACATCATCTTACTTTATCTGATATACGTATCTCAACTAAGTTAGTGTGTCTAAGCTGTCGTAAATTGGATGCTTCGAAGGCTCCTGGGCCGGATGGAATTCCTGCTATATTTGTAAAGACATGTGCAGAAGAGCGTAGTTTGCCATTGTCTATTATTTTCAATAAATCACTAAGTACGGGTACTTTCCCGAAAATCTGGAAAAATGCCTTTATCATTCCCATTTACAAATCCGGTGATAAAACAATATGTAAAAATTATAGGCCCATAAACATACTTTCCTGCATGGCTAAGGTTTTCGAAACATTAATATATTCTCACATATACAGTCACGTTAAGCAGAAAATTTCATGTATGCAACATGGCTTCGTATCTGGTCGGTCTACGATAAGCAATTTGTTCCTTTATAGAAATCACATCAGTACTTCTATTGCTAATCGTCGTCAGATGGTAAACAGCAATAGTATACATAAATGAAAAAAATGTGACAAGCACTAAGAAATCATAACTCTCTAAAATGTTTATTATATTTTTACATTCTTCACATTCATCTTTTTTTAGTGAAAATTAAATTTAGTTGATACAAAGTTTTCATATTTAATAAATAATTTTTTATCGCTAATAAAGCGTCGTTCTTTGAAGACCATCTAGTAGAACAAACCTTTTTAAGGGTAATTTTATATTTTTCAGATGAATCGCTACTCAACATTGCCCATCGTTTTATACTATTGCTAAGAAAAGTATATATTTTTTCTAAATTATCAAATAAATTCGACACTTCAATAACATGTTTCGCAGCAACCTTAAAAATTAAATTTAAAACGTGTGTAGCACAATGAAGACTATCGGTATTCGGAGCATGCTCTTTTATAAGGGCTTGTAATCCTCCATATACACCCGACATAACATTTTCTCCAACGTAACCTTGTCCTCTACATTTAGACAAATCAATTCCATATTCTTTAATCGTATTTAAAACTTCAGTTTTAAGTCCTGCACTGAAATCAGATATTTGTATAAACCCCAAAAAGGACTTACAGATTGTTAATCCTTTAGGTACATTATCATCATTTTCTGTTATCGAGATGTATCAAAAAATAACAGAAAGTTGGTCAATTTTTGGCAAGTCTTGTGTTGTATTGAAAATAATTGCCAGAAATGGATCTTTTTTAGTTCCTAAAATAATATTATTCCTAATTGTGGTACCAAGCAAATTAATAATTTTTTAAAAGAAGATCTTTTAAAATAGGATCATAATTGTATAGTAAACGTAAAATTAACATAAAAATTTCAGAATCAGAATCATGGCCTCTTAAAGGTAGATGCTAAAGTAATTATACGATGCAATAAATCTCTCCAGAATGTAATTTTACTATTGATTTCACTTTGCAATAAAGTATCGATGGTATTTCCTTGTAAACAATTATTTTAAGATAGGGATGCATTAATAAGCTGTTGTGAGTTTTCATGGTCAAATATACATTGCGTAAAATTGCTTCTGTAACGAGCATAGGGTTCGTGACAATAAAAACTGCCGATTAGTTTACCAAAGTTAACACTTTAATTCACTTTACTTAAAAGACACTAATAATTAATCACACTGATTCACTTTATTTCGCTCCGAAGCTTCGCTTGTCTCGCCAATTCAATACTGCCCCGATCGCGTCTTGCAGCGCCTTTAAATACACCTTTTCACCGAAACATCCAGTATATTCCAGTAAATACGCACGCCAACCGACCAGGCGCAGAAAGTTCGAGTGTGGGGTTTCTAGAAAGCTTAATTCTTCTGTTCGATAGTAGATGGCGCTGTTGCTCGAAAGTCAAGATTGACATTTTCTAGGAAGCCCTCCTCGCTCTGGTCCCCGACACTAGATGACGCTAGTTCCATGTACCTGACGTCAACTTAGGCGCGCAACACTGCCACCCCCCCTCCTAAGACATGCTCATCCCGAGCATTATCGGCCCCATAATAACGCGTCAGGCGATCCACACGGACGATCTTAGGAGTTCCTCTTGCGCCTTTCTGTATACCGTAGATTTCATCGTTGATCCTGGTCACGATCCGGTACGGGTCGTCCCATTTAGCTTGAAGTGTAGGAGATTTCCCTTTACTGCGGACTGGATTGTGCAACCACACTAGTGAACCTTCGTCGAACACTTTGTTGTTCATTTTGCGGTCATACCAGGTTTTCATCTTTTCAGACATTTGCTGGCCCGATTGTCTGACGTGCTCATGAATGTCATTCATTTTGTTCCGCAAGTCATTTGCATAATCGGTGATACTGCGTAGGGCATCAGGTGTTATCCCGGTCTGCAGGCAGCCGTAATTCTCTTCCAAACTTTGCGAAAGCTGGTGTCGCTGATGTACTTTCGTGAACAGCGCTTTGATATGACAACAAAAACGGTTGTATGTGCTTGTCCCAATCTCGTTGCCGATTGTCTACAACTTTTGCTAGGTACCTTTCCAATGTTTGATTAAATCATTCTACCATTC